TCACCTAAATTATTGATATTCCAATTTTTATCACCATTGCCAAAATTCCATAACCTATTGGCTAGGCTTTGAATGTCACCACACAAAGAAAACGAAGAATCTAAACATGTCATGCTCAATAGATCTTTCAGTGTTTAAGAGAAAAAAGTACTTTCTTCATCGTATTACTACATGGATGTCCATATTGGATATCAACACAAGTCAGACGATGATAAGGTTGAATTGCTATGACCCTCACCCTGCTCCAGTCTGCGCTTTCATCTCCGGAACGTCTTTCTGACACCTTTTCCACATGGGAGCTCAGTGCTTGTCCTGGGAAGGAACGGAAGACGGCGATCGATCTCTTGTGAGCAGAGGGAGATGGAGACAACTAGAAAATAGACTGCGATTTTCTGATAATGGGATCAAAAGAAGAGAATCAATTTCCCTGCTCAGAAATCTGCAGAAGCTTTTTACTTGGGAATTTCTATTGCTTGTCGTATGACGGGGGAGTTGCTCGCTAAGCGCACCGTATATAACGTGTAATTTTTTTAGGCGGGCATCTAATTCTAAGATCTAAACACAGGGGAGCAGAAATGTCCCTAAAGCCTAGTTCACAAGAGAAACGGCCGGCACGTACAACTCCGTGTGTGCACGGCCGTATCGGGCAGCTCCCGGGAAGGGCAGGTGCTGCGTGTAATTAGTACGCAGCCAATGTCATTCTCTATGGGACTAAGCGGCCATACGCCGCCCTACGCTCACCCCAAGTGCAGGTCTGTATGGGTGCGGGTGTCCTTGCTCAGACGCAGACAGGATCCATCCCATCAGTGTACGAGTACGGAGACCCGTACGGACGTGCAGGGCGGGTAAGCATAGGGCGGCGTACGGCTGCGTAGTCCCATAGAGAAGGACAGGGGCTGCGTACTAATCACATGCAGCACCTGTCCTTCCCGGGAGCTGCCCGATATGGCCGCAGCACGGAGCTGTACGTGCCGGCCGTTTCTCCTGTGAATGAGGCCTAAAGCTTTCAGGAAGAAGATCAGGGCAGGGAGGCAAGTACAACTCATATCAGTATGCTCACCTCACTGAGTATTAGATTTAGCATTCCTACTGGGTCATACTCATACTGGGTCATTGGGGTAGCTGAATATGCCAGGAGAAAGCGGAATAGATAGCAAAGAGAAGGGCCAAGTGATAGTGAACCTGCACTCCATTTTAAACCATTTCAAAAGATCTGCTTAACATGAACCGAGCATCAGATTCTATTCTAATGTTACGCACATGCTGAGTAATGTGTAGGTGTAACACTTCCAGGTATTTATTACCCCTCACAGAAATGACCCCCCAGACAATGCCTTTATCTGCCTGTCTCTCCAGAAGGATTGAACCATCTTTGTTCGGGCATCATCCATGGTCACCATCTACTTCCTAGACCAAGATGCCAACTCAGAGATGACACAATCCTGTAAATCCTGTTGCCTATCCAGTTCTTGGCTGCGTTTACAAAGGTATGACACAGATCAGCTCCTGCTGAGGCCTCTCACCTTGTGACTTGTTACAAAGTTACAACGTACAGTCTGATCACTGGGAGGAGAGGAGACTGAGGACATGCTTCCTCCTGGCTGCAGCAGGCTGAGGACGTCATCTCAGCCTAGGCACAGTCAATGAGCTGGAGCTCAAGGAAGGCTTTTTAATTATGGGAGGTGGAACTTTTTGGAAAAATGATCTTAGTGATGTGTATTGTGACATGTCAGGTATTTATTAGTGTAGTACAGCACTAAACATGTGCATGACTATTTCCTTTATTAGTAATACAAAAATCACTGCGCTAGGAGTGAGTATCTAAATAGCTAATTAGACCAGCCGCAACAATGTGTAAAAGTGAATATAATTGTGTAGCAAATAAGTTGCGCTCGGTCTGAGTGGATGTTAATTCAATATTTGTGATGAACAATCTCTTAGTTTAAAGAGGAAAAAAATACAGTGTACAATTACCGGAAATCTATATCTCGGCATGTGACAGTGAAATGTAATGAAAATAAATGGTGAAAGTATCAATCACAGCCCAGTGTGTCATTGAGCGTTCATTTATGTTTAAACGCACCCAAAGTAGCCAAACGAGCACTCTAGTGTTATAACCATAAATCTGGAAACTTTTTTGTAATACGTGTATGGGTGACCAATATCATAAAATTGCCTATTTGCTACACAATTATATTTCCTTTATGTGCTGGTTGTGCAAACATAGTATTTGTTAATATCAGGAGCTTGGAAGGGTTCTCTGAATAAGAAGGTGGATAAAGTTTAGAATTATAAGCTACTTGTAAGTCCACTTAAAGAGCAGACACTCCAAGATGCCTACTATCACCTTATCAGCTGAAAAGCCTTCTTCTTTGGCTAGCTAAAGGGATTTTACAAATGGTTACCATGTTTTACTGATGGCACAAGGCAGTCAAATGGGGATTGTTGGCCAAGTTGGATGCCAAGGAGATTTAAAAATAAAAATAGGGCCTGCTGCAAAGCTTTATAACCTGCCACATGATTACATATTAAAGCTGCAGATTTTGACTCCTGTCCTGAATTCTGCCTGAAAGAGCATTTGTCATTTGTTTTAGGATTGCTGAAACCGCTTTAAAGCTAAATTTCAGATCAATATAAAAAAAATGCCATTTATTCTAATCATACTTAGAAAACCCTCATTTGTAGGTAAGAAGTGATAGAAGGATCATGTCTGCTTTCTAAAAAAGGGATTCTGAGTTGTATAGTAGCTCTGCTAAAGGGTTCCATTGGACTAAGCTCCCCATAGGAGTCATGGTCCTTATATATGTTTCATAATGTAGACGCTACATTTATTGTGATCTATAAGATTGATGTAAATGTCGAGGCACCAGGAGTACTGTCTAGCAAGAATAGCCTGTGACCCCATATTACGAGTGACCTAAATTAGATCATCCTTTTTTTCTCTGACCTTAGTTAATGGAAGAAAGGATTGTACGGGTCATCCGATCACAGAATATGTCTTTATTTTTGTAATAATGATTGAGTTCTAGATTCCACTGGCTCCTTCTTGTACCGACTGTGTCCTAAAGTCCATTTTAAAACTGCTAAGCTATTCATCCTCAGGCGGAAAGGATATTACATAGCACTGTTTAAGGTACAGTGACAGGCCTGGGATTAAAGTGCAGCTTCAGAGATTACACCTCTCATTTTGTCCTGGTGATCATTGCTATATAGAGAGTGATAGGGTATACACGATTACAGTTGTCACAAAAAGGAGGAGGTGAGGGGAAATTTTCCAATGGGGATGCGTGTTTCGTGAGACAACTGTCTCTCCTTTGAAAGATTTTCTGCATTTCCATGGCAGTAATCGATGGGATATCTCCCCAACACGGCACAAACAATAAAAAAATGTTACTATGGTCTTACCATAATTATGAAAAGAGAACTATGGCCAAAATGTTTTGGCATTAGTTCTCTTTTTACTAATGTCCTCCTGTGACCCAAGCGTCTGAGCAAATGGCGGGCTTTTTGCTGACAGCACGAAGAGGCACTGCACCCTGGAAAGATCACGACAATATTGTCGGGATCCACCGCACTGCCTGATTGACAGCTGGCTCTGCCTTTCTAGAGCCAGATGTGCCCGTCCCCTTCCCTGTCTGTCCCTCCAATGAGCTATGGAGGGACAGAGAGGTTGAGGGGGGAATCCCTGTGGGGAGCGGTGACTGGCATTGTGACTGACGTTCTATTGAGCTGGCATGGGATGGCTGCAGTGTCCCTCACCGGCTCTAACTATGGGGAAGAGTGCATTTTACTCTCCTCATAGTTCTCTTTTAATTAATTCTTCAATAATGGTTTACCCAAATTAACCAAAACTAGCTGATATACACTTTCCAAGTAAAAAAAATTGATTCACTGCAACAATCTTTTATTATACAACTAGGATATGAAAAGCATTTTGTTTATAAAGGGTTTCAGTTGGAATGCCGCACTTCCTTTTAAAATAAACATTTTCCTTATTCTACACTTCAACTATCAGGTGATCCCCACCCCTGCAATTAAAATTCCATGAATCTTTCAAAAAGTTCCATTAATCTTCTAGAATCCATTGGATGTCCTTTAGGAAGGTGTAACATCAAGAATTAAAGCATATGTCCAGGCATATATCCTGCCTCAGCATTAGGCCCCTTTCACATAGGTAGTCTGATCGGGTCCGCCAGTCAATTTTTCAGGTGGACCTGATCTGATGTCCATTGTTAGTCTATGGGCAGCTTTGTGTAAATGGATGGACGGACGTCCGTTTACGCCCAGTTACCCCTGACTCTGGCCAGGTCCGGAAGAACCTGATCGTGCCACGTCGGGGGTAATCTGATGTAAACGGACACGTGTCTGTTTACATCTGATTCCCCATAGGCCGTAATGGGGTCGGTTAATTTAGGTTTTTTCCTAAACTGGACAGACACAGATGTCACAACAATGACATCCAATCCGAACTGTTTCGATCAGGAGGGGATCCATGTACAGATCCCTTCCTATTCAGCCCATGTGAAAGGGGTCTTACTGTTTTCTTTTACCTTGATCCCGTAGCGAGAAACCCCTTTTTTTTACTCCCCGTGACATCATCACCATGATTGTAAAATTCTCCCAGGGTCAGCTGCTGGGAGGTCAGTTCCAACTGACATCGGCACACCCCCTAGGACTACATCTCCCAAGACCCCTTTTCCTAGACACATGGTAGTCAAGGAAGCAGAACTATTTTGCTGGGAGAGAAATCAATGCTTGCTTGTGGAGTAAGACAGAGAGGTATGGGGATAGGAGGAGTTCTGTAGTCCAGCAGGCAGCCACGGTAAGGATTTAGGCATCCACTGTATTTCTGGGAAAGTCCAATAGAAATGTTTCTGTTCTTGTAGCATTTGTGAAGGGATAAAGTATTAGGAAATCTGCAATTTTTTATTGCAGAGATGTACTAAATATGTTTTTTTTTTTTTACTTTGTTCATACATTCATTTTAATTTTCTACTCACCACCAAAGTTTCCAGTAAAGAGGTAAATCCAGGTGATGGCTGGAACAAAAAGAAGAGTGAGAGAGGCAGCCAGGAACTTTCTTCTCCCCCTGCAGAATCCCAGCATTCTCTCAGAATTGGGATATCCCAAAACCTCAGCGTGGTTCCTATGCCGGAAGCACCGCCCCTTCTTCAACCAGCATGTTAACCTCCTGTGGGAAAGAGGTGCGACAGTGTCAGTCTGGAAGCAAAAGGTGACCTTGCACTGTGATTACATTACAAAATAATTAGGTGAATGTTATCTAAAAGGTCACTTTCTGCCAGAATTAAGCCATATGTGTAAAGATTTCCTCTCGTCAGATCATGGGCTGAATGCGAGAAGATCATTAGACTCCTTCATTACTAAAACAGCGTAGATGGAGGAATGTCCTCTGCCGGCTGTTGCATTATAGTTACATAGTATTTGATGTTAAATACAGACACAGGTTCATCAAGTCCAACCTTTGTGTGTCTGTATGTGATTGTACATGTGTGTGTGTTTGTGTGTGTGTGTGTGTGTATGAATCCCTGTGTGGTCTAGTTTTTAAGAGTACCTGTACCCCTGTATGTTATGGTCTATGAGGAAGGTATCTAAATGCTTTTTGAATTATTCAATACTCTCTGCTGATACCACTTCTTGTGGCAGCGAGTTCCAGATTTTAACCGCTCTAACTGAAAAGAAGCCCCTACGCCCCTTGTGGTTAAATCTTTTCTCTACCAATTTCAGGTGGTGGCCTCTAGTACTTGTTAGGGAGTTATTCAAGCATTTAAGCAGCTGCGACAACCACAATAGAATGCAGTCATTGTTTCCACCCGGCTAAGTCAATTTCAGCAGGAATGCCCAATATTTGAGCCATGTATGGCTAGCTTTAGTAGTGAAAAGTTTTTCCAACAGATATGCAATTTTTCCATGCAAAAACTGCATTGCGCTACTATCATTTATATACTGTATATCCTCTTTAATAAGTTTTATTTTTATTGGCATAATACCGCATTGATACGTTTGATTCTTAAGGTCGTACAAACGTTGACAATGTATCTTCAATAACATTTAAGGACCTATTTAAAAAGCAGTGAATGTAACTGTCGCCAGTCACTGGCAGTAAATCAATCACTGTCATTTTAAACCACATACACCTGGAAGATTCACTTGCATTGAATGTTTGGTGAATGTCAGATTGACTGCTTTATAAATATGTCCCTAAAGTCAAGTATATAAATACCAACAAAGAAATTCTTATTAACTCCCTTTTGGTCTGCAAAATAAACCATTGAAACTGATTTGTTATAGCCGTTCAACAAATGCAAAAAACTGTTGATCCTGTCTCGCTATAGACTACAGAACACCTCCCCATATGTCATTGAGAAGAGGAGATAGGAAGGTGTTCTTTTGTCCTGCTCTAAGGAGACAGCGCTGCTGCGCCATAGATACAGTACAGTGAGTGTACGTTGTCACCCTAGGGCAGAAAGTGTGTTACTGTTAGGATCACTAGGTGAAAATAAAGGAAGCAAAGCCTAAAAAAATAAATCTAATGCAGCTACCACATCTAATCCACTGGTAAGCTTTAATATATTACATTTTTGTTTTTGGATTTAGATATGATTTAAGAACCTTCACAACCCACCTACCCTACCAGGAGCACAGGCATTTATTTTAACCCTGCTAGATCTATTCAACATGAACTATCACCTCTCTTACCGTGCCCCTGCTCAGGTGAAAGGAGGGCAGCATGGAGTGGTCTATCTAGGGGAAATTGGGCTAACCTGACTCCAAGTCTGAAATTGACAATTGTCTTGCAGACCACTTAAAAATGAAAAAAAGAAAATCCTGGAGCCCGAATTCCCACCCCAAGATGCAGCCCAGCCAACAGTGGCCCTTACTGCTGCATTTTCTTTTACCAGGAAGGGTGTTCTAGGGACCACCTATCAGGCAGGCTTCCAATAGTCAAGGCTCCCTTTTCTTTATGACTATATCCCCTGTATTTCTCTCATGACAGGTTTCTTTTCACCAGCCATCCATTTCTTTTCTTGCAAACAAAAGGATATAAACCTTTACAAGCATTTTTGCGAGCGAAAAGAGATATAAAACAAATTAGAGCGCAATGAAGACTTTGCCTTGAATAGCTTTTAATGTAGCAACCAGACAATGGAAAGCCAGGCAGTGCGCATGCTGCTCAAATTGCCATTAAATAGTGACATAGCCAGCTGCAAGAATTTCTCAAAAATAATTTAGAAGACGGATAATATATTCTGAAAATAATTGCCTCTATAAAGATATCTCGACGCCCGGCGCTGGGCAAAAGCGCTCAGTCCTTCTCCAAATTATCCAGCTAAAACATACGCTAATGATTAGCCTATTTCCCCGACAGACACCGGAATAAAGTTCTTTCATTGGAATGCTTTGACGGGCACCCCGGAAAACAAGACTTTTATTAGCTCCAAGGAGTTCTCAACTTTGATCAGTCATTAAAAGTTGTCAAGATTTTAGAATATGTTAACCTGGCTGCCCAATTCCTCCAGCTGAGTGAATGTTCAGCAACGGGCCTTGTGCGTCTGCCGTATTTGAAAGTACTTGTACAACCTGTCTCCCCTGCAGTTCTAGAGCTAGCAACCTACACGATTAAACAAAATGTCTTTATACGTATTATTGTTTTTTGTCTTGGATAGAGCAGAGAAGGGTTAAACCCCTGTCAGTTAATTTTTGATGTCTGTGTCCCATCTAGGAGATTTTCTGTCACTTCCCGTCCTGGAGACGCAACAGGAAGTGAGAGGAAATAAGTACAAGAAATCTGTCCTTATACTGTCTTTCTATAAAGCTTTGATTTTTTTTTAAGCTCTCAGAAGATGCACTCTATTCGAAAGGTCAAAGTTGCGAGTTCTGCTTTGCAAAGTGCATCTCTTGAAAGCTTCTACTAAAATAATCTACTGTTATTGTAGGCCAAAAAAAAAAAGAATATATCATGTAAGGAACTGAACCTCATGACTCCCAACGGCCCCTTACTTAGATGGACCGACTCTTTTGGAACCAATTTTCTTAATTCTCATTCATCGAGGTCATGGCATATCTGTAAAAAATAAATCAAGGCAACTGAACTTGCTGCATTTTTCTAGAAGATGTTTTGATGGTCATCCGACTAGCCTTCTCAATTCAACTGAATTGGGAAGGCTAGTTGAATGACCAGCAGAACGTTTTCAAGAAAAAGTCCAGTTGCCTCGATTAATTTTTTACAGACAAATCCCTCTGTCCCTCTTTCCTCCTGTTGTTCTTCTTTTGTCTGATGCATACACCATACCTCCCAACTGTCTATCAATCAGAAGGACAGCCCTTTATTTGAAGCCAAATCCCTCTAACCCTCTTTCCTCCTCAGTCGTCCCTCTTTTTGGTACAGATATCTATAAAAAGGTTCTATTTATCTACCAAAAGTGTTATTCTGCACTAAAACCTCCATCTTATCTCTTAAGTACCTTGTTTGCACTTAAAAAGGCAATATAAAGGAAACATAATGGTGAAAAAAACCTATTCGGGGCTTAACAAATCATTTTTGGCATATAAATTCTTAATGGGGTGTGGCCATTGCCTACATACACAGTGCTAGAAGGTGCCCCTCTTTCTCATCTCAGAACGTTGGGAGTTATGCATACACAACCTCCTCATGTATCACTTCTACCTACCTTTTAGATAGTAAGCCCTCAGGGGCAGGGCCCTACTTACCATCTTGTCTTGAATTGTATTGTGATTGTAATGTCTTCCCTATATTGTACAGCGCTGCACAAATTGTTGGCGCTATATAAATTATGTATAATAATAATAATAACTATAAAAAAAATATGACTATTCAACTACCTAAAGTGCAATACTACACTAATAGCCCGCTCACACCAAATGCATTGAGCTGTGATCGGCAGGCTTGCCCAACGCAGTCCCAACAAATAGACCAGCCAAATTGCCTTATGTAACACTAGTTCAGTACACCGCGTTGCAAAAAATTAGGACAAGCAGTCCTTTTTTTTTCACCGCAGCACACTGTGACGCACTACACTCGCATCACAACGTACTGCAGTGAATACATGTGAATGACATTTTTTTTTTTTTTTCATTTAAAGTTTTATTAATGATAAAGAATGACATACAGAGGTAATACATGTATCCAAACATCAAAAGGTCATCAAATAACAAATACAGGGTTCTGCATATCAATCACAATATAGAAGATACCATAAGAACTGTTGGTTAGAAAAGAACAGGGGGATTAGCCCTTTTGCACACTTTTGCAGCAAAAAGGATCAGAATGAGACGTAAGCATCTGCTGTAAAGTGAGAGGGTCGTGAAAACTGAACGACCCTCAGGTCATATCATGGGTGTGGGTACATGTGTCTCTATGTGCTATGTGTACATCAGGAGGCAGTATTTTCAAGAAAGGGTGAGAGGAGAGGTCAGACAATACAGAATAGATGGGGATTGCAAAAAGGTAAAGGTGACGAAGACAAGCAGTAGAAAGGGTAGAGTCCTACATAGTAGGAGCGTAGGGGACTCATGAGAGGATTATAGAATGAGGCAAGAGAGGGGGGGAGACCCTGGGTGCGGCCTGCTGGACATAGTCCCGTGGGGTATAGCCCAACCCCCCCAGATGGGTAAGCTATATTCAGAGAAGGGCTAGTATACAGTCTGGAGACTAAGTGGAACCCTGTTTGAGGCTTGCGTAGACCTGTCCAGTGGAAAATCTTTCCAAATTTTGTTTTGTGACATTTCAATAAAGTTGAAACAGCGCAGTCAACTACATCAGTTTACTTCATAGCACACGTCAGCTGTCATGGTAGAACGTGGCCGCTTGTATGAACGAGCCCTAAACCTGTTATTCAACCTCTAAAGTATTGCATTTGTTTTTCTGAAATGCGTAAAGTAAAAATTGTTTACTTTATGCTTCCGATTGGATTTCACCAATTGTGCATATTAATACTTTTTGAATTGTGTAACTGTTGACATGGCAGCGGTGCGTTCATTCCCTACATACTTCCTGCTAAAAGGTGTCCCTCCTTGTCGTCTCATTAAGTTGGGGGGTACACATCTGTTTTGGTGTAGGCGCACTAATACGATTACGGCCCCCTACGCAATCCCGGCGGCGTGTTTTACATGCAGTCCAGCGATTTCCATGTGGGTACGCGGCAAAT